TTGTTTATTATTTTAGAACCATTACTAGTTTAATCGGTTAATTAAAGTATAAGGATGTTAACTATATTAACTAGTGAGTAAATTAAGACAGATCAAATAATATAATAACATAATACAATTCGGATACACTACAGTTAAGGTAAAAATTAATCATATACATTCGGATACTTAATAATATTAATATATAATTAATTAGAGGTATATTTTATGAGTACTAGATTAAACTAATAATATTGATTAATGGTTATTAGTAAATTAAGACTGTTTTGATATTCTTCGGATATGTTATAATGTTAACTATACGTTGAGTACTGCATTAAATTAACAGTAAACTAAATAAATAAAAAGGCTAATTGAAATTAGTAAATAAATAAGATAGGAATTTAGATTAAGAAATAAAGAGATGTGATTAATAAAAGTGATTAATTAATAATTAAATTAATTATTGAGTTAATACGTAGATATAGGTGGGGGAAATTGAATACATTATTAAAATGGAATTAACGACTAATTATCATCTTAATTAAAAAGGTGATTATTTAGAGACCGGAATAGACGAGAAGAACTAGAAGCGTCACATTCCGAGGTAAGTCACATTGCAACCAAAATTATATTTTTACCTCGTAAGTAATTATTTATTTGATATGTGTGATTATATGGTGGTATGAATATTTTATTTGTGAGCAAGTTGTAATTGTTGTGATTTTGAGATATAATGAATTACATGTTTATGTGGGATATTTTGAGAACATATAAAGTAAAGAATTTAAGGATAATAATCCTTGTGGTGAAACTTTGTCCAAGAGACATAAATATGGAATTTTTGGAAAGACAAGTTAAAAGTCTGTTTTCATAATTGGGGCACCGCGGGAGAAATCCGTAGGTGTCGGGCCATCTTCACGTCCGTTAATGGTGAAGGAGGGTTAGGACTACTACTACTTGAATTGAGAGTCTTGAGACAAATTAAATGAATTTTTGGAGGGTTCGGTAACCACCCCGAACAACTGGGCATTAGATTCCTTTTATTAAAGCAGTAGTAGTACCTATTCTCTTAAGGGTCTTTGAACCTAGAACTTAGGGAGTATATTCCATTTTGAGTAGGGAGACGTTGACGTCAGAACTACTTAGACTTCATTCTACCCATAGGGCTTGGAATCCCTTTAGGGGGTGTGCACACTTAAGGTAGGAGTCTAGATTCTAATAGAGGAGATGAGGTACCGAGAGAGATCGGGGTGACCGTACAGAACAACGGATCACTGGGCTCAAGAATCGAGATAACGCTTGAGCACCGCCCTTCTAAATGATTAAGAGAATTAGCTATAAAGCTATTTTGAGGAAAAGCAAATACTTTTGTACTTGAGAATTATTCTTTGGAATACTTATAAGAAATTTTGAGGAAATCATTGGGATTACTACTCTTTTGAAGAAAATCATTTTTGTATATATTATGTACAAATTCTTATTTTTCACCAAACCTATTATTTTACGGGGTTGGGTGGGATTTACTTAGCTCTAAAGCTAATTTTTGTGTTATTTGTTTCTTTTATTTTTCTTATGTTACAGATGATGTGGTGTATGAAGATTGATGTCTTGAGAGTGCTACTAGAAGACTTTTAGAGAAGCTAGTCTCATTACAATAAACTCTGTTCGTTTACGCTATTTTAAATGTTGAACTTTAAATCTTCACTTTGGTTTCAATTATGGTGGATAGCCTTAGCATCCAGTCCGATGAGGGCTGGGTGTGGCGGTGACACGCCCTTTTCCTTGTCGTTGTTTAATTCCGCTGCAAACATTTGAAAGTTTAAATAAATAAATCAACTTTACTATTTCTTTATGTATTATTTTGGGAGGGAAATTTGGGGGTGTTACAACCTACTTCTCGAACTTTGAAATATCGAGAAGAGGTTCTCGATACTAAAGCTCGAGAAGATGGTTCTCGATGTTTAAATCTCGAGAAGGACTTTTCGATACTTCCATATCGAGAACCAAGTTCTCGATATTTGAGTATCGAGAAGAGCTTCTCGGTATTTAAACCTCGAGAACCTACTTCTCGATATTCAAACCTCGAGAAGTTAGTTCTCGTGGTTTACTCTCAGAAATTTTCTCGAGGTCCCACCAGTACACACCTGATCTGAACAATTGCAAAAACAGAACATAAATAAGATTTTCAAGTGAACAATGTGCTGACCCAATTCTTTCAGTTAACAATGTCAGGAACAGACAGAACTGCACAACCAAGCAACGCAGTGTACCCAAAGGAGAAATGGGTCCCACTGTACGACAACAACTTCCAACTGGACCTAAAGTTGTTCAAATGCCAGGATCCAGTGATATTATCAATTCTACAGAAGCATTACCTATGGTCTGCATTTAATGAAGCCAAACCAGTGCCAGAGGTGTATCTTCAACAGTTCTGGGGCCTGATGCACACAGCCTCAGAGAAGGACAGGTCGAAGATAATGACCAAACTGAATGACGTGCGAGTGGTTCTGACACCATCAACGATCAGGGAGACACTGAAGCTCCCAGTGCTCAAAAACTACGCACCACTCCCCTAAAACGAAGAGCTGATCAAGGGGATGAAAAATCTTGGATACAATAGCCCACTGCCCCTGCTGTCAAATTCACTATCTCCAATCTGCCCCACCCGTGGAAGAGTCTGTTCGGCCTAGTGAACAAGTGCCTATCTCCAAAGCACGCCGGACATGACAAGTGCAACAAGCAGATTCTACAAATCTTCCATGGGATCGCGTATGACAAACAGTACGACATGGCCCAGCTCTTCTGGACAGAGCTGATGGACCAGGTAAAGATGAAGGAGAACAACAAGGGAAGCACAATTCCCTACGCTCGGTGGCTGGAGCTGATGATCCACAATATGATGGAAGCCACCCCTACAATCCCTAAGCGCAAGGAAGACAAGCACTTCACTGCGCCCAAGCTCAAATACTTTCAGAGGGACAGCAACAAAGCTGAAGCACTGCCTATTCCGGACTCCCTGCTTGATCTAGCAAACCCGAGGGATAAGGCAGTCATTGACTACAAAGAGTCGCTAAGGAGAACGGTTCCTATGGTTCAGCAAAACCCAGCTGGACCTTCCCCGGGAACCAAGCCGAGAGCGAGTGAGGGTAAGAAAAAGAGAGCCCCGTCACAGAAACCAGTGACAACCCGGCCTAATGATGATCAGTCTGCTAACTCTTCCGAGAGGACCCAGACTGCTGAGGGCCACCCTATCAATGCTGAGGACACTGCCGATGAACCATCAAGCCAGGCCCCTTCTAATAAGGCTGGTGGTGAGGCCTCCGATAGCATGGCCAAGGGAAATGAGCAAGATTGTGACACCGCACCCGAACGTCCTTGAAAATTCAATTTAAAAAATTGAAAGTTTATGTATTGAATTTCTGATTCCCAAACAATTGTAAATGATTGATGTTTTACGTAATTAATGATCGATTGTTATACTGTTCGAACCCGTATATTAGTTTCGGGCTTGCGAATACTCGTTTGGGCCTTATTAATAGATAAAAGAGCCTAACATTATCTAAATAGTGATACATAACGTTTCAAGACAAGTTGAGGAAGGGCGGGCGGCCCAGACATTATTTTGGGCTCAACCCGCTAAAATAGCAAGTATTCAAGAATGGCGTCGTAGGCCCACTCGGGGGTGACCCACACGGCTGGTAGTCCAATAATATGGATGACAAATGTCGAAATAAGTGATAGGATGATTTGTGGTGAATACAAATGCCTATGATCCCATCTTTGACATTATTGAGTTAAATAATGGGAGTAGGATTTTTCCTTCTATAATATCCATCAAGTAAATTATTGAGATGAGCCTACACATATTGGAGATCAATAATGAGATGTAGGAAGTTGACTTGTTCTAAATAAATTAGGATGAGTACAAAAAGACATCTTTGACAAAAGATAAAACAATAGGACCCATTCTTCCATTTTTGGATGTATTGATTAATATTTTGCTCCCAATAATTGGGGAACAACATGCTGCGCCCCATCCCTTCTTTTCCACCTGCAAGACAAGAAAAATAATGTTAGGAGACTGCCATATCTGACTCTAGGGGCTGGACTTGACAAAGGAAACAAGAGGGAACCCCATCCACCTAGTCTATTTTCGCACAAAAGGATGGTGCTGGTTGTCTCCCTCCATGAGTGATGTTATACTCGGCCAAATAAGGTGAATGAGGTGTCCTTGGATATAATTTGAAGTCTATTTTCATATTTGAGTGGTCTCTGTTCGAGGGGAGAGGGTTATCTTACAAAAATTGAGCTGGAGTGAGCGGTGGTCTGTAAACTCGAGCTGTGAGAGTGCTGAGGCTGTTTGGTTGGTATCTCAATTTATACCAATCCAATTAAGGCGTGTGAGATACCAAAAGAAAGCTCTCAAGACGAGGAATCCGTGAAGGTCTGGTTTGCATCAATAGGAGTAGTGGAAGGCTTCCAAATCGTCCGAGAAAAACACAACCTCGCAGAAACGGATTTACTCTTCTAAAGTGAGTTGTTAACCCCAAAACCTTTCCTTTCATTTTCCAAATGATATGAACGATTGGTGGAACTATTATACACTAATCCAAGTGTGTAATAGGTCCTTAAAGAGTTATTATTATTTATGTAAAGGTTAAATACTAACCTAGAGCAAATCTTGGAAAACTAGGAAACGAGTTGGCCGGAAAACACCCATTCTAGGGGCTGTTTTCGTACCAACGTTTAGGGGTTGAACTAGCACTTTGAGGAGGCTGTTTAACACTCATTTGTAAGCAAGGAATCAGTTCTCAAGCTTCCTTGGCCGAGGCTTTGGTCATTGGATTGAGAAGGAAAGTTTTAAAGCTCAATTGAGGTGAGGATCGACATCTAGTTGCTTACAACTTGTAGGTTAAGCCTGAGATTACCTAAATGCCTAAATAATGTTTTCCATGGATTATGATGATAACTTATTGATGGAATATTGATCTATTATCCAAAGAATGAAATGGGAAATGATTTGGTAAAGTATTGATAAAATGGAGTTAAATGAACTATTGTGTGAAATAGGCATTTTACTCATGTGTGAATTGTGTAGATACATAAATGATTATTTATGTATTACATTGAATGATTAAGTTGCTGCTACATATCTCTAAATATGTAGGGTTTTACAAGTGGAATATATGATGGATAAGAATAATCTTAATAGTATTGAAATACTAGTTAATGATTGTTGTAATTGTTGAAGAATTGAATCTAAGGATTTGATTGTAATTGATGAACTTGATTGTGATGCAAGTGACTAAATTGATGTAATGTGATGCTAAGACCATGGTTGGGCAGTCCGTAAGGATGTCCCAAAATAGATTATTGATATTACAATTCTAGGCATAGCGAGTGCTTAGGAATTGGGGTCTATGCCAATGTAAGGAGATGTACTTGAGCCGTGCTCATAGAATTGCATTGGGTAGACATGATGGGGTGATTGTTGTGCATGGTGATGTAGTTGAGTTGGACTCAAGAAATGCACGGTGGAGTAGTTAGCTTATGTTAATTAAGGTGCATGGTGATGTAGTTGAGTTGGACTCGAGAATGCAAACATATGTGTTAGGGTTGAACCCTATGAATTGTTGTGACTAGGGGTCACGGGGTTTGGGCTATGTTTGTAAATAAACCTTGGGCCTACGGGCCGACTACTTGACTTTATATATAAAGTAAGTATATTTTAAAAAGGGGTAACTTGGGGTTACGGCCTAGATTATATTATCACCCTATTTGAGGGTCTTGTGTTTGAAATACTTGTTGTATATCTATTAGATGCCATCTACACCAGCACTTTATAGCCCTATAGAGTGCTGACCCCTTCGGGGGCGTCCCACCACCATTTTTCAGGTTGAGGCTAGAGCTTGCTTCCTGTGCTCGTTGCTCGAGAGATCATCTAGGAGGGAAGACTTGGTTCGTGCTTCCTCCATTCGGTTTTTAAACATTAATAAACATGCTCATGAATATTTTACTATACAGCCTGCGTGCTCATGTTAGCCACGTGTGGCATTTGTTTTCAAACTATATTTTCCGCTACGTATTCGATTGCTTATTATGTTGTTTATGGATGGCTTGCGTGTGAATGATATTCTCGACGCCTTGTATAATATGAATGTGTTGGACTGCGGTTGACTATTCGTATTGTACGGCGGGTTGTTGACGTGTCCGGGGAGGTCCGGGGCGTGACAATTTAATTGGTATCAGAGCCTTAGTCCATAAACTTCATAATGAAGTCTCAAAATTCTCTTTTTGAAAAGATTTTGAAAACCATGAGCATAGAAGTTTTGTACTTGGAGAGCTTTTGGTACTTGGGTTGCAAGGTCTCTAATTGTTAAGATGGTACCCTTAGCAATTGGTATGGCGGTGAATCGAGCCAAAATGTGTCTTAAGTACCTACCCGTCAATTGACATTTGATACGAGTCTAACGACTCTTTCCAAATTTCTTTCAGAAATGGACCGTGGTGGCAGGATTACTAAGAGAAACCCGACCGGCCGTGTACCAGTGGAGACTGGACAGGGCAGTCGAAGGACCTCTAGGGCATCTAGAGGAGCTGGCCGTGGAGGCCGATCACAGACCGTGAGTGACGGTCATGTTGACACAGAAAGTGAAACCTACTGGTCCTATGAGGACTCGACTTACCAACCGGAAACCGAGCCGGTTGAGACCCCTTACGAAGAGGATGACGATGATGTCAGTGATGAAGAAGGGGGGAATGACTCCCTAGCAAGAATTGAGGCGCTGCTCCAGCAATATCAGCGGGAGCGCGAGGAAAGGAGGGAACGCCGAAGGCGCCGGGGAGGGCGAACTTCGGATGGGGCTTCGAGAGGAAGAAGCCATGGTGACTCTAGGGCCCACATTGAACCACATGGGGGGCCGGGGTGATGGAGGTCCAATCATAAGGATCTCAAAATTTCTCAAGGAGGCAAGAGACTTGGGGTGCAAACCCTTCAACGGAGCAGGTGACATCTCGGTCGCCGCGGAATGGATCAAGAGGTTGAACGAAGCAGCCCTTGATATGCAACTCACCCCTGAATTCAAACTAAGGGTGGCGGTGAGATTGCTTGAAGGGATGGCATCCACATGGTGGGACGGAGCCAAGGGAAAGTATGGCAATACCGTGACTTGGGAGAATTTCCGACAGGAGTTCTTTGCCCAATACTATTCTGATTTTGAGGTGAACGCTAAGAGGAGAGAGTATACCCTCCTGACCCAAGGTGGCAAAATGACGGTGAGGCAACTTGAACATAAATTCAGGGAGCTCGCGGAGTTCATACCGGAGTATGTCTGTGACGAGAACCGGATGGTAAATCACTTCTGGGATGCCTTAGACTTGGAGGTGCGTGAGAGGGCAACACAGTTGCCTAACATGACCTTTAGCCAAGTGGTCGAGCAGGGATTGAAAGGAGAGAAGGAATGGGAAGAAAGGAAGTTGAAAAACGCCGAAGAGGCAAAGAAGAGGAAGTGGGAGAACCATGGACCTCAGGGTCCTAACAAAAAGGGGAACCATGGAGGAGGAGGACCTTTTCGGACACCCCCACTGCCATCTAGGGGAAGTCAAGGCCCGGGCGGGCAATCGCAAACCTCGGGGGTGACTCGTTGCAAGAATTGCAAGAGGAACCACCTGGGGAAATGTCGTGACCCTCCTAGATGCTACCAATGCGGGAGCACCGGGCACATGAAGATGAGTTGCCCACAACTGAGCGGGGCAAGGACATCGGGACCAAGTAGTGGTCCGACGGGTACACGGAATCAAGCCGGGGTTTCACACGCGTCCAGGGGGCAAGGGGGAGCAAGCGCGAGCAACGCGCCGTCCGTGAATCAAGGAAGGACTCAATCTAGAGTCTATGCGATGACGGAGGCGGATGCTCAAGCTAACCCGGATTCCGTTACAGGTATTACCTTTTGTATACTTGTGTTTTACCCTTGATTAGTCCATAAATTGAGGTTGCTAGTCGTTGGGATCATTGCACGAAGTTTTGGGATCAAACGGAGCGAAATCGGGCGAAAGACGGCTGATTTCCGCCAACGCACACCAGGCTGGACCATACGCACGGCCTTGCGTCCGTGCGTTGGTCCGTGCGTTGGTCCGTGCGTTGGTGGCAGTAGCAACCGGGAAGAAATTGCTATACGCACGGCCGTGCGTTGTCCGTGCGTTGGTCCGTGCGTTGGTGGCAGTAGCAACCGGGAAGAAATTGCTATACGCACGGCCGTGCGTTGTCCGTGCGTTGGTCCGTGCGTTGGTGGCAGTAGCAACCGGGAAGAAATTGCTATACGCACGGACGTGCGTTGGTCCGTGCGTTGGTCCGTGCGTTGGTGGCAGTAGCTCCGTTTTGAGGTTATAAGACACGCACGCCGTGCGTACCTCCAAGGCACGCCGTGCGTACCTCCTGGGCAGCCCAAAGTCGACTTTTTCGCGCCGTATTGCAACGTTAAGACCTGTTCTTGATCCCAAACACGTGTGTGAACATAATAAACCTCTCTAAATGTATAAGAATGGTAGGAAAGGTATCTCACATGACTTATAAATGTAGGAACACTAAAGATTAATGGGAAGCATGCACGAATCCTTATCGATACCGGAGCTGTAACACCCCGGCCCCGCCGGACCCGAGGTAGTTACTCCGGACCAATAGTACTGTCCCCACAAACCGCCACTAGCCTTTTCCGCGCACTTTGTGCTCACTCGTGCGCGCCCTGAGAAACTTCCCAGGGGGTCACCCATCCCAAGACTACTCCCGTGCAAGCACGCTTAACTTTGGAGTTCTTGGTGATGAGCTCCCTTAAAAGGAGATGCATCTTATTGGTATGAGTAGTACTATTAATCCGTTTATATTAAATCTCAAGTGTTACAATCACCCCCACTTAGGATCGCAACGTCCTCGTTGCGCCCTTGAACCAATCTCAAATCTCAATCAAATCCCAGAATCCTCCCCCGCTAAGTGCCCGCCCGATATCTAACGGGTCAGCACACTGTCGCAGGGTTGCTCTGATACCAATTTGTAACACCCCCAAATTTCCCACCCAAAATACTGATATATTTGCAATAAAACTTTTATTTATTGATAAAGTCATTTGAAAAATACAGCGGAAGTCTTAATAGGGAAATGGGTGTTACCGCCACATCCGGTCTCTCTTAACCGAATGCACAGGCTAACCCCAGACAAAACAAACTAATACTGGTGTCCAAAACATAAGTAAATTAAAGTGTTTATTCTTGACTATGTTCGACTAAGGCATCTCTAAACCGCTCTCAAGATCAGACAATCATCAGTCAACTCAAGCATCATCACCTGCACCAATAAAGTGCAGAAAACAAACAAAGAGAAGAAAACAAAAATTAGCTTTAGAGCTAAGTAAGTACTACCCAACCCCGTAAAATAATCAGGTTTGGCAAAAATAAATTTTTATATAACACTATATAAAAATTACACACTCCATAAAAATTTTCTTCTTCTTTGATCATCTCCAAAAATCACTTCTTCTCTAACATCCTAGTAATTTAGAAGGGCGGTGCTCAACCTTTCAATTGAGCCCGGTGGACCGTGGTTACGGACGGCCACCCCGAACAAGTGTCGGTACCACAACTGTTCTTGCGGAAACGAAACGACTACCTTAAGTGTGCACACCCCCAAAAAGGGATTCCAAGCCCTCCGAGTAGTAAGTCGTCACGAGTAATCGGGACTCAGTCTACCAACTACCCCTGAATAAGATATCTCTAAATGATTAGGGACTACTACTATAACTTCTTCTTAAAAGGGATCATAGATCCACATGTTACTTCAAACTCAAACTGTACTTCTTAGTAGTAGCAGCCCTAATCACCCCCCACATTTATCCGGATGTGGAAAACCGACACCGCGGATTTCTCCCGCGTAACTCACCTTTTATAAAATCTTTACTTTTATCTTGATTTAAGATATACTTCAAAAATACTTCTCAATCTCTCTATTTAGTCTCAAAGGTATTTAAAAATATTTAATACCCCAAAAAGTACTGTAAATTTGTATTTCTCAAAATCACATACTCATAATTCACAATTCACACTTAATCACATAATACATAATAAGCATATAATACGAGGAAACAATTTTGGATTGGCAGAGAAACTTACCTCAAACCACGATAAGTCCTAACCGAAGCTTCTATATTGATCTTCTCCAAATTCACCTTCTAAGAATATTAAAATTCTAATATCAATATCAACTTATAATTTAAATTTCTCTACCCTTTAGAAATATTTCCTCTTTTAATTGCTTTAGTGATAATTTAATTATCACCATTATAGCCCATAATGATTTAGATTCGTTTATAACTATTAAAATTAGTCCAAGTTAGTCCAAGTCAATTTAGAGATTTCCCAAATCAGTTCGGCCAGCATATACAAGCTTAATTTGCAGTTGGTCCGAATAATAAAGTAATCGGCCTAACAACAGTAAAAGTAAACAAGGATGCTGAGTTACGGGAGTTAACTTTATGTGTGAAAGAAGTTGAGAGCTGTTTCTCTCCCTCTCGTTGAGGTTCTTCTACGCAAACATCCAAATATACTCGTCTCTTCCATTAATCTTCACTTTGAGCTTGGAAACTGATTGCTTTACTCCTTAATCGTCTTGGGTGTAAATTCTCCACTTCTTTTGGAGCTTGGTGTTCGAGATTTTAGTCGGTTTTCACTCCAAAGGACCGCGGCAACACTGTTCATCCGGGAAGGTCAACGCTGATATCTCCAGTTCCTCTCGATCTTTCCTTGATTGGAAGGTGTTGCTGGCTCCCCCTTGGTATCAGGATTACGCATATACCCGTTTTTCAAGCCTAAAAAGAGATTGAGGTTTGGTCAACTCTCCAACGGTCATTCCCATTTCTGTACGTCCGAGCTTCAAAAGAACAAAGAAAGAAGATGGTCACTTAGCAGGGGCTTCTACTACCCCCCTGCTCCTTCTTACCATGACTACAAAAAAGAAGAAGGAAATGCCTGCACCTACCAAGTCCTCCTCCCGACTTAGAGCTAAACAGAACAAGGAGATCGATGAGGCAACTGCTGACACACTTGAGACCTTGAACCATGGAACGATGGTTACTTCGCAAGATGGAAACAAGAACAATGGTGAGAGGTCTAACTCCGGAATACCCTTGGTACCTATACTTGAGGACTCCCAAGGAGAGGCTGCCCTACCGAGTGTGGAGGTTGCTCATGTGGACCTCGACTTAGAATTGGAGGTAAATCCTACTCCTCAAAATGATGGGTTAGAAACCAACGCGGATAACCGGGAAGATGTTGCACCTCATGATCCTATTTTGGATGGGCTGGACACTGACATGGCTAGCCAAGAAATTGCTCTTATTGAACATACTTTAGATGACATTCCCATTGTTGAAAATGAGGAGTATGAACTTGACCCAACTGTGAAACAAATGCTGGAGAAGGAGGAAGCAGAGGCTAATAAAATTGTGGAATCTGCCTCTATCTAGCCAGTGGCACTGCCTATTCAGACCGCGGCACAATTCAGTCAGCCTGCAGCAGCAGCCTCTCAGGCCGCGGCACAATCTACTCAATCTACTTAGCCCGCAGCGTTAGCCATTCAGCCCGCGGCACAATCTACTCAGCCCGCAGCATCGGCCTCACATGCCGCGGCATCAGCCATTCAGCCCGCGGCATTACCTACTGCTAGCAAGGCCGTGGTTTTGGAAGGTAACAAATGGGGTAAACCAGGCTCTAAACCAGCGTTTGTCTCACTCTTCAAGGATAATAGGGAACCCGATAAGGGTATGAAACTAAGATATATTGAGCCTAAAGGAGACATTATTGACTTATCTAACCGAGTGATACCATCAATGGTTGCTATTTGGGGTCATTGTCTAGTTGGTTACTTTGACAACGGGTACCCCGGTTACAAAAATTTGCAAATTCTTGTGCAACAATGGGCGGGTCCCAACACGGTTTAGGAGCCATGATAAAGGGTGGGTCATCTTTAAATTCCAAAATGAACAAGCTAGAGCCAAAGTGCTCATGGAAGGGCCATATACTATGTTTGGCAAGACATTTCCCTTGAAATTGCTCTCGGATGATTTCTCTATGAGTGATGAAGAATTCCTTAAGGTGCCTATTTGGGTACAATTCCCACATCTTCCCATGAGAATTTGGGAGGAAGACATTATTAGTGAGGTGGCATCTAAGGTGGGCATACCTTTAACTACGGATAAGGTTACACTTGAGAAGGCTAGATCTAACTTTGCAAGAGTTCTAATTGAAGTAGATGCCTCCAAACCTCCCCCGCTTGATCTCAAAATCAAGTTGCCAAATGGGAAACTACATACACAATATGTGAGGTATGAGACCTTTCCAAATTATTGCTTTCATTGCAAACAATTTGGGCATCATGCCTTTACATGTCCTATCATTGCCGAGATTGAAAAGAAAGAAAAGGAAGTAACTATTGCAAAGGGTAAAGGCATTATGGTGATAAATGAGGAGGCCGAGAGGGCTGCCAAAACAGTGACTAACAAGGAGGAAAATGAGGCCGAGAGGGCTGCCAAAACAGTGAACAACAAGGATGAAATTGGGGAAGATAGTGATCTTTTTGTCACCAAAAGAGATCATCCTTTTTTCAAGAGATTTCGGCTCTTTAAATGGGGAAAGAGGAAGCCTATAAGAGGTGAGTGTGTCACATCCGATTTCAAGGATGGTGAAGATGTTCTTGTCCGAAAAGTCCAAAAGTTTCATGACACCTACCAAGATGAAGTGATAGTTGAAATGGAAACCGATGAAGTTCTTATGCCTACTATAAATGTTACACACAAGAAACATGTTGATAAGGATGCTATAATTCTTAAGATGGATCATCATCTTAAGATTGTAAAGGAGGACCAACCGGGAATGCTATTTACAAAAGCAACTTTGGAGGGGCTGCCCGGTATCACAACCACAACCGAAGGCTACACTTTCAGTCCTACATTTATGAGGGGTGTTTTTAGACACTATCTTTGTAGACTCTATGAAGATGGGTGTCCAAGGGGCAAAGCATCTCTTGTGAAACGTCCAAGCATGGTTGATTACAACAATGTACGAGTTGTGAAAGACATTAGGGATGCTTACCGAGATGATGTAATTGTGAAACTTGAACTTGGCGAAGACAACCTACCTTTGATTCACCTACTACATTTCGATGAAGTTAAGGACCAAATGGTGAGGCTTGATAACTACTTGAGAGTCACCCAAGATGTGTTAACCGTGGGACTTACATTCACCATCAAATGCTTGGAGGCTATTCCGGGTGTCTTTCCTACGGAGTATGGGTATGATTTTAACTCTTGGTTCATTGAATATCCATATACTTTATTGTATCTTACTAGGTACAAAGAGAGAGTTAAGTCGAGCCCTACCCTTGGGAAAAATATGGTGAGGCCGAGAATACAAGACAAGAGAGGCAAGAGGAGGAACAACAATAAAAAGGTTTGATGATTGTGTCCGCATGGAATATAAGAGGCCTCAACAAGGTCTCCAAACAAAACTTTATTCTTAAGTTTATTCGCACTAATAATATTCATTTGTGTTGTTTTCTTGAAACCAAAATGTCTACTACTAATTTTGTTAATTTTAGTTCAAATAGATTACCTTCTTGGCTATCTATAACTAATTTCGACAAAATTGATGGTGGCCGTATTGGCATACTTTGTAATCCCCATTTTGTTCAAGTTAATGTGCTTGAAATTGACAAACAACACATTCATTGTCATGCCACTTGTAAAACTACCCAAATTGAGTTTTTTGTTACTTTTGTGTATGCCCTCTACACGGTGCTTGAAAGACAAACGCTTTGGGATCACTTAGCCAACTTGGAGCCTAACATTAATAGCCCGTGGCTAGTAATGGGAGACTTTAATTGTGTTGGGAGCCCAAATGAGAGGGTAGGTCCTTCCCCTCCCTCGGCTTATGACATGCAACACCTTAATGATTTTAAATTGCAAACTAATCTTGTTGATTGTCCATCCACGGGCCAATTCCTTACTTGGAATAGAGGTTCGCTTTGGGCTAAACTAGATAGAGTTCTTATTAATTCTTTTTGGGCCACTATGGCCATTGAGTGCAAAACCCACTTTCATGACATGGAACTCGAATACGATCATGTAGCTTCCGTGGTTTCCATTGGGCAAACTAACGGGGCTGCCTCTCGGCCTTTTAAATTTTTTAATATGTGGCTAAACCATGAAAATTTTAATGATATCCTCACTAATCATTGGGATAGAGAGGTATATGGTAGCTCCCAATTCATACTAGCTAAAAAATTGAAAGACCTCAAAAGACCACTTAGAGAGCTTAACAAACTCCATTTTGGCCACATTTCTGAAAGAGTTAAGGATTCCAAGAAAGAGTATAAAAGGCTCCTCGGGCTCTCTATACTCTCTCCGTTGGATGAAACTATTAAAGAAGACCTCTCCCTGATCAAGAAAAAACTTCTAAATCTTAAAGTGGCCGAAGAAGATTTTTTTAGGCAAAAGGCAAAAGCAAACCACCTTGTTCAAAGTGATAAATGTACCAAATATTTCCATGCTATTGTGAAAAAGAATATGGCTAGGAACTCCATTACGGCATTAAAACTCCATAATGGGGTTTCTACCACTTCTATTGACCAAGTAGCTACGGAATTGGTAAAATTTTATACCAATTTGTTTGGTACCTACCAACCAACATCCGGATTTGACCCTTCTATTGTTACCTCGGGTAGGTGCCTACCTTGGGGGGCTGCTGCCGGATTGATTAATCCTATCACTGATATTGAAATCAAAGAAGCTCTGTTTGATATTGGTGATAACAAATCACCAGGGCCAGATGGCTACACATCAGCATTTTTCAAAAAGAATTGGAATAAGGTTCGATATGACTTTTCCAAAGCCGTGAGGGGCTTCTTTGGTTCTGGTAGGCTTTTAAAGCAAACTAACCACACGGTTATTGCTTTAATTCCCAAGACCAATCATTCACCAACCCCGGCTGACTTTAGACCAATTGCATGTATCAATGTGGTATATAAAGTCATCACAAAAATCATTTCTAAAAGAATGATCCCGTGTCTCCCTGACCTTATTGACCAGGCCCAAGGGGCGTTTGTTGATGGCAGACTTATGATTGATAATGTTTTTGTTGCACAAGAATTAATCAAGGGGTATTCTAGGAAACGTATGTCTCCAAGATGCATGATCAAGGTTGATCTCCGGAAAGCCTATGATACTGTATCTTGGGATTTCCTTGCTAGTATGCTTACCCATTTGGGCTTCCCGGCCAGATTTATTGACTGGATTATGGAGTGTGTCACTACAGCGTCTTACTCCGTATCAGTCAATGGTACACTCCACGGCCATTTTGATGGACAAAGAGGGCTTCGGCAAGGGGACCCCATGTCCCCCCTCTTATTTGTTCTCTGCATGGAATACTTATCTAGACTATTGAATGTTAGGACTAAAAATCCCAACTTCAATCACCATCCTTTGTGTAGATCGCTTAATATTTCACATGTAGCATATGCCGATGACTTGATGCTTTTTTCTAGAGGTGATACCACATCGATACAGATTCTCACAGAGGCTCTGGAAGATTTTGGTAACATATCTGGCCTTAGGGTCAACTATGATAAATCAGATATTTTCCTTGGTGGTAATGCATATTATGAGCTTAATAATATACTTGAATTGGTGGACTTTAAAATTGGTGCATTCCCGGTCAAATATCTTGGGGTTCCCCTGGCGCCTTTGAAGCTATCTGTGGCCCAGTATACACCCCTTTTAGAGTCCATAACCACTTTTATTAATGCCTGGAATCTTAAATCTCTATCTTATGCAGGGAGAGTTGAGCTAGTCAAGTCGGTTATACAGGGAGTACACTCCTTTTGGCTACAAATGTTTCCCATCCCTAATGCTATTCTTGACAGGATTACATCCATTTGTCGTATTTTTCTTTGGGGGGGCAAATTTGCTAGGGTTGCCTGGGCTGATATTTGCCTCCCGAAAGAAGAAGAAGGCGGACTTGGTATACATGATACGAAGGTCTGGAACAAGGCCTTACTTTCAAAAACTTTTTGGGATATACATACCAAAAAGGACACACTTTGGGTCAAGTGGGTCCATGGGGTTTATCTAAAGGGCAGGAGTGTGTGGGAATTTGTCCCACACGAAAGAGACTCACAACTTTTTAAAAAGATTGCATCAATCCGTGATGAGATACTTTCCAAATTTTCGGACATTCCGAGTGCTATACTTGCCCTAAATGCTTTTCAATCCAATGGCAAGCTTGTATCCTCAAAGGTTTATAATTTGCTTAGGAATAGGGCCGCCACCCGTGTATGGATGCCATTTATTTGGAAAGATTACATCCCTCCCAAGTTTTCCTTTATTACTTGGTTGGCATTCCGTAATAAGTTAGCCACGTGTGATAATCTTCATAGATTAGATGTGGATAATACTTGTGTATTGTGCAAGGGTGGACCGGAAACGGTTCCACACCTCTACTTTGAATGCCCATTTTCAGGTAAGGTTTGGACTATGATGAAAGCATGGATTGGCATTCCACGGACGATGGGGACTCTAGCTAGCTCGGTCAAATGGATCAAGAAGGAAAGAAGCGGAGCTAACGTGCAAGCCAAGGCTGCTAGGATTGCTTTCTCCTGCACCATCTACTGGATTTGGAGAGCCAGGAATGCAGCTATATTTGATGGATTCCTGCCTAAAGAGGAGGAAATTTCTGCTAGGATAAAACATGTTGTCTACAAAATTTTGTATAGCATTTATCCTTGTGATTTGGTAGTACTCTGATAACTTTCCGCCCGTCAATTTTTTCTGCTTGTGATTGGGCGTGAGATAGTATAGGGGGGCTGCTATGGCTCCCTTATTTTGGCAGGTGAGAGGTTATCCAACTCTTGGATAGCCTACACTTTTCCTCATATTTTCGTTGTACAGATAAACTCGTTGACGGTTTCTAATATACTTACATGTTATTGAAAAAAAAAAGGATGCTGAGTTACGTACGTAATCTTCTTCGCGAACAGAGTTCGTTCAGTCCGGCCATCGGGTGGCAGCGGTTCCCTCCTCCAGGCGCGCTCTCTCTTTCCTCCAGCGACAAGGGACGCTCGGCCCTAGTGCAGTCTTGTGCGCAGGTTGGAAGTCGGGGCAGCTGGGCTTCTTTAGGCGAGGTGCGTATCAGTCCCTCCGGCAGTATTCCGTATCTCTGGCGTACGAGCTTCTATTCCGGCGGCGATGGCATTCAGTAGCAGCAGTCCGGTCTGGTGATTGACGGCAGTGGGTTGATCGTCCCAGGGTTTCGGCTCTCACTCCGGTTGCGGTAACAACTCCGGCGGCTCAGCCTCAACGGCGGTCTCTCTTCCTTCTTGGCCGACGAATCAACAGCCCAGATCGTACGCACGGATCTGTCTTCTTCTCGTTGGTTTTTGCAGAACGACGTGGGGTATAAATATATACATATGATATACGGATTAGGGAGTATGAGCGGCGTAGGGATGGTACGAGGTTGTGGTGTATATATATACGTAATCGATTATTCGAGAGACTAGGGTTTCTTTGTGTTAAATTCTGCAGCCCAATATCGTGCGAGCATTCAAATGGTGATTGTAAGACTTGCAACGCATGTGTGAAAATACATGTGCACATAGGAATAGTCAAGTTTCTATTGTTTATTATTATTATTAAATATTAAATTTATTAGTTAGTAATAATGTGTGCTGTGGATAAGTATATATTGAGTATATTGTGTATTTATTAGTTGCGAGTCAAAGAAATGTATCACCCTAGTATTATCGTACTACGTATATTTTATGAATTTAATCAACATCCAAAAATGTCACTTTTGTCAAATGTTAAAATTTTATCTACTTAACTAATAAGGCTTATTTAATAAATGTCTACTATATTTAAGTCATAATTTATCTCATTAATAGAGTTATAAATTTTGTTTTGTTAAAAAAAATGGAGTGTCACAGGGAGATCCTTAGAAACATCAATTTCAGTCAGAATTCTAGTTGTAGACAGAGTCGAAAAATTAGCAGTAGGAGTATCAATTTTTAAAGGTTCTCCCAATAGACCAGCAATCGAGTATAACACTCATCATGAAGATGAATCAGTAGCCCTTCCAGGGCCAGCCATACAGGACATAAAGGGGAGTTTGACTTATTGGAGTAAAAAGGTGTCTACCTGGTCACTGTCATCGTAGACCCTAAGAAGTCCTAGGTCGTTTATTTTGCCAAAATATCTGAAAATCAGAGTCTGAATGGAAATTTACCAGGATTGTGCGAGTGGAGTAGTCCGACTGAGTACGATTGTGCAAAACCTGACACCTCCATTGCTTTCCATATATCTGTATAGCAGAGATCGGAGGGTGGTTCTGTGGGAAGGTCCCAACAAGGGCAAATGGGAAATTATAGGAAAATAGGAGGTGAATATCATTTCTCGTGAAGGAGATGAACGAAAAACCCTTGAATTTGTCGTCTGATTTAACTGTGAGACCCTTGAACTCCACATCAGAGAAGAGCTGAGGTTGTGAGTGTAGGCGGTGTCCGGGGATGATATCCCTTACAACCACTGCATAAGATGGGACCCTTGGAGCAGTCGTCGAATCTATTTGAGTAATAAAGCATATTTAGTCCTATTTTTGAAAGATAATTACACAAATAGACATACTCGTATAAGATTAATTTTATCCTATGTCAAAATCACTTTTATTGAACCCATCCAAAAAAGCTTCCATGTATTTGGATCTACTTTTTAAAACTGTTTCTGCTCCCTCAGGGAGCAGAAACAGATATTTGAGTGTTTGAGTGAAAATATATAAGTACTTCTGGGTGCTCCAAATTGCTCATAGAAGCGCCGTTTTAGATTCGAGGGGGCATCTTCTGAAAAAATGATTCTGATTCTACTTCTGCTTTTAATAAACGAGCAGAAGTTGAACCATTTCCAAACACCCCTATATATATTATGAGCTTAAAACAAAGCTTTATAAAATAATAAATTATTGATTATATATCGATGCATCATAATAGTACTATGTGACCCTTTAATTTAATATAATATGATAATAAAGTCTATACTCCATTTATATATTAACATATAACTACTCACACATAATTAAATCATGACGTGCACTTTGTCGTGTGTGCACTCAAAATAATTCAATACTAACAACTATACGTAGTATAGCGTAGTAGAGTTCGTATCCACAGGGAAAGGAATAATTCTCTTTTTATGAACTAGTAAATAAAAGGGGGTTTTGATTTTGTGATTTAATTAAATTAAACACAAAGATGAACGAGTTATATGGGTTTTAATTCAAAGATAAAAGGGACTTGGCATTGCTATTTCCACTTGTTGATATATTTTAGTCGATCATTGTTATATCTATAACTTATCTCCTCTTGAATACTCAATCGAGGAGTATATCCAATTCATCGAGGATAGCTATTAACAACGACCGTTCATTAATAACCCTTACTATTAGTCAAGTATAGAACAACGCCATATACCGACTTGATAGTAGCATTTAATCTCTTAACTCCTTGATGAAATCAATTGAGATTGATAACCTCAACACAACGGTTTCGGTTTAACCAACAAAATTAATCCCTCTTAAGTTTATTAACCACGACCGTGCATTAATAAACCGAAGTTACTTACTTGTGAAACTATCAACGATTAACCATCGGTTCATTGATCGTTTCTAGTAATAATTAATATATGAAACAAACTAGTTGATCCTTTAAGTAATGTTCAAAATATTAATATGAAATATGAATAGGAATTAATTAATACTCAAGGAAGAATATTAAAGAAAATGAATCCTACTAAAGTTAATATCAAGATGTTAACTAATTGTCATCTTGGCAACACTCCCCAACATTGATATAGAAATAGTATTTAAAGGAAGAATTAATATTCAAGGAAAGAAGTTAAGAAAATAACTCACAGCTTCAAGAGCAATACGAAGAAATGAGAGTTTAGCTCCTCATTTGGAGACTAAACATGCTAGAAGAAATATAAAGAAATGCTATTCTAAACTGAGCTTAAGAGTATAAAGGAATTGTTGTCCAATTGTGAAGGAAAAGGGGTGTATTTATAGGCTTTTTAGGGGTGCAGCTCGGGTACTCGATCGGGTATATAAAGGTACCCGATCGAGTATGTGTAGAAACTCGAATTCGACCCATACTCGATCGAATTCAGAGTATTATTTATATATATACCCGATCGAGTATGTCGGTGTACCCGATCGGGTATAGACACTCGATCGTGGTCAAAATCTTCCCTGCATGTTCCTTTGTTTTCGGATCCGATCCGGTTTGAAATTTCAACAAGATACCCGATCGAGTATAGATGATACTCGACCGGGTATAGACCAAAAAATCAGGATCTTCCCTTTGTCTTGTGATTTTGCACCTTCCTTCCACTTTTGGGGTTCACCAACTGTCCTTTGAGTGATAGTAGACCTGTTTGAGCTCATAATAAACCTAATCTAAAACATTTTACAAGAATTTAACAAACTAAACTATTACACCGAAAGTGTGTAATTTCCGAAATATTAAACAACCAAAACTAACTAAAAACGTAAACATACACACGGAAATTACACGCGTATCAAATCATCAAGTACTAAAGAATATAATTCCTTAACCTTCGTCTGTACAGAATACGAGTAAACAAGTCTCAAGAGCCAAGGCTAGGTAGACGCACGTCACCACCTTTGGCCCACGACTCGAAGGAGATCCAGTCCAGGAACTAATCAACATATTCTTCAAGGGCCAGACGACGCACGACCCACAACCCTTTGCAGCATTACCAAGGGCAGGCCCCAATCCTAGGAGGACGCTCGTCTCCACGATTGGGTGGGAAACTGAGATTCTGGCGGGAAACGCATTTAATGCTAGAGATTTGGTGGTTGAGGCTTCAGCCATTCGCGGCTCTCCACGTCAGCATAGCCAACTGCCATTGATTGGTAGTTAAATAGTAGCATTTATTTCATTGTAAAGCGTTGGCAACTTATCTGCCTTAGCATTCTAGCTTACTATCAGCTCATAGCTTAATATCTGCAGCTCTTCTACTTGAGTGTAAGACGAACGGCCTTAGCATATTGCAGTGTAACGGGGAGTTATTAAGGATCAATAATACCTGGCCCACTATTGCATACATTCCTTAGCCCATCTTACTTGTTTGCATTTCATACTCGCACACCAATCCATTCGAAATCCTTGGGCTTACGTGTTGGACCCGAGGGTTGAAGGAATAAACCTCAACAATCATATAATCAGATAAACTAGAAATTCCTTCATATATGAAATCCAGAGTAATATCTAATACTACCTAGGAGAAATATTCATGTCAGGCCTTCTTGACAGGAACCGCTGTTCGGGCCGCCTTCATTTGAGTGCTTCCGGGTGGAACTTTTTTATGAAATTTTTTGAGTATATTCTTTATCAAGTGTGGATTATATCCACCAACTTTTACTTTAAAATTCAATTGTAAATTCACTTAAATAAATTATTGAAAACGCTATGTTTTTTATACGGAGTATATTTTTTGGCGCAATATTTTTCAATAGTTTACTTAACTGACTTCGCGGTTGAATTTTGAGGGGAAATTTGGTATATAAAATCTAGAGAACATGATAAGGGAATCCCATCAAACAATTCAACCCGGAAGCACCTCAAATGGAGGCGTCCGGATGGTGGCTTTGGTCAGAAAAGTCTGACAAGAACATTAATCCTAATACTAGTATAGTAATACTATTAAAAAAATAAAAATAAAAATTGGAAGGCGAGGCCCCTTACTCATATAGGCACCTCCGCCCCTGTGTT